ATGGATTGATTCAATATAGGAAAACATGGCTCTGAATCTGCAAGACTTGAGAAGGGCTATTGATCACCGTGGCACTTAGAGCTTTCTTATTCAAAGATTTACCATAAATTGAAATTGACTTAATGCGCAAATAGCAACAAATACTCAGAAGTAAACTACAGTCTGTTCAGTGGGGCTTATTTCCAGGGGTTTACGTGTGTGTTTGTGTGTATATGTTGTCAAGTTGCCTGTTGACTTATGGGGACCCCATGAATTTCATAGGGTTTTCCTAGGCAAAGAGTACCCAGAGGTGGTTTTGCCAGATCCTCTTTTGAAAAACAGTATCTTTTCGCAGTCTCCCAACCAAGTAAAACCACAGCTGACCCTGCTTAGCTTCAAGATCAGAAGGGATCTGGTGCCTTTAGGGCATGTAGACATCTTTATTTCAGGTAAATGTGTGTAAATACATACGCACACAGAGAGGTGCTTTTGGTTTGTTTTTTAATCACCTATACATATAAATATATAAATGTATACAAATAGGTATGTAAATATATGCATTTATGTAAAATATATATGTAAATATAAATGCATGTAAATATATTTATGAAAGTTTATAATTGGAGACAGTAGGTTTTTAGGTTCAGACCTACTTATTACAATCATGATCCCTCCTAAGATTTCCCTCCCAATCATATCCATTTCACCCTCGTTAAATGAAGTTTACTCCTTTTTCTTTCTCTTCTCTCCCTCCTCCTTTTATTTACAGCTAGAAGCTCCAAGGCTAAGCTCTTTGTTCAAGTGGGAGGGGGAGACTGTGGCAGCTGTACAGATGGCAGAGGTCATCCACCTTTAGTGTCAGCATAGAATCAAGTGCTCTACTTCAAACACACTTGTTATTCTTGTTGCTCACAAACTGTATGAATGGTGACCTTCATTTAGGTCAAACTCTTTCTTTGAGAAGTGGTATACATAACTGGGTGGCTCTCACCCAGGAAATTGTGAGAGCACCCAGCTCTTCTGAACTGAGACTGACTTAATTAGAAAGTAATGCTTAAGACTATGCAAGGGAAGAGGTTGGATAGCCAACTAGATGTATTTGCCTCTCCCTTTAGCAGTCTTTTAACTGTCATCTCTGGTGATCCTACTCTTCTCCTCAGTGGGTACCAGCGTGATTACAAAGTATTTGGGAAGGAATGTGGGGAAACAAAAGAGACTGTGAGGAGAAAGCAAGTTTTGTAGGTGGTATGTGTTTCTCAAGTGAAGACTTCAGAGAAATTGAAAACAGTATGGCAATATTGCCCTTCAGTCTATCAATCAGGTCTTCATTATCCCTAGAAAGTAGCGAAGGAGAGGGAAAACGTTTTCTGATATCTTTGAGAACTAGAAAACACAGGATTCTTTTTCCAAAACCCCTCCCTCTGATCTCCTTTTGTGAGAGTCCTTGTCGACCACCATGTCCTCAGCCCAGGACTAATGATGGATGAGTTTAAGACTGATTATCGCCTCACCAAAGCAACAATCAAAACAAAAACTAAACTTACAAAAGCATTAGCACCCAAACTGACACTGAATGTTTCTACAAGTTGCAACAAGTTGTCGCACTACAGCAAAAGTCAAACATGGAAGCCTTTGGCATGAGTATTTCATTTTCAGCCCAGCTGCATTTGCACATGGTATGCAGATAAGTCTATAAAAATTGGTGGAGTCCTGCACTTTATAGCTTTATAAGCTGAATTCCAAAATGAAACAGAAATGTTGCTGATTCTCAGCACACACCCCCCCCCATAGTATCACCATTGGCAAACCAAAAGGTCACAATCCACTTAATTACTTACAGGGCAGTAGCCATGCGATAGCTCAGTGGGAGAACACATACTTTGCATACAGAAGATCCCAGATCTCACCATGAGGTAGAGCTGCTGAACACCTCTGGTTGAATCCCCGGGGAACTGCAGCCAGGCAGACAATACTAGGCAAATGCAGCCCACTCTGAGGCCATTTCTACAGCTTTCAACCCCTCTGGACTGCCCTCTTCAGAGCAAAATAAATGTGAATTGTCTCTCCAAGAAGCTTTTTCTAAAGGGCCTTCCTGGAATCTTAGCCTTTTAAACTCTCCCTATATTGTTTAATATTTCCTTCCCAAAACCAAAAGTGGATTTCCAGCTACCTTTGTAGTCTTTTTGTTTGGGGGCAAGCCCCTGATGGACAGAAAAAGTAGCCCTTGGACCCACGACAGTTGCCTACCCCTGCTTTGGACAAGGCTCCAAATATGGACAAGGCTCAGGTAGGCAATTCCCTTTATGAAAGAGCTAAGACTGAAAGTCTGTAATCACCATAGAGCTTCTTGACTGAGTAGGGATAGGTCTTGCTGGTCAAAGTCCAATATAGGTTTCACTCCCTACCTTGGTGTCTTTGCTTTTGGCATATATACTTAGTACATAGTTACCATCTGATGATTTGTAACTATAGTCACTCTCTATCCCAGAGAGCTGGCCAGAGACTTGGGTGTTCCTGAGAAATAATTACACAAGGTTGGGACCACAATGGAGTGGCACTGGCAAAAGTCCCATTACAGTAATAGTCATCAGCAAATGGCACTCACTCATTTGTTCCAAGTTGTCTTCCCAAGAGTGGGACATTTTTCTATGCCACTGCCAAGTTTTAATGATTTCCAAGCCTTCTTTCTGAGACTTTTTTTTTTACTAGAAGGCCTAATCTTTCAAATATACAAAGGCATAAATCTTTCAAAAATCCAATACTGCATATACAGACTGAAGGATCCTTGGAAAACTGTAAAATATCATTGCTGACTGTCTGAACAGCCCTGCAACTACCCAGGAGCTTTGAAGAAATCCAGACAGTATCATTTACCTCTGCAGAGTTTTATATTTTCATCCAAACAGGAACACTGGGATGCACATAGGACAGATTGGGCCAAAGTAATTCATGGTTTAATGCTGCTGGTATAAAGTCAGACCACTAGATTTCAACACCTGATGGTGCAATAAATGATAGCAGGCATTCCTAAATGGATTGTGCCATTCTGCAAAGATATATGTTCACTGAGTATTTTATAATGTTATACCGAATTATATACACATAATCTCAATTGAGAAATATGTAAACCAGGCAATTGTAACATACACTACTGCATAAGATTCACCTACGCATGGATATGATACTTCTCTAGTCATGTGGGAACAAAGCACATGTCTTGTGAGACTTTATTATTCTCAGTCACTTTCTTCCTGCTCTGCACAGTGCATAAAGGCAAACATGTGCGGCATTGTGCCAAGGCAATTTAGAGAACACAAAATTTTTCATAACTCTACGTGGTCATCTCTCTGCAGTTCCATCCAGTTTTGTGAATTCTATAGTGGGGAAAAGATCCTACCGAAGATGTTCTATAAAACCACAATAATACTGCATGCTGCAGCACTAGAAAGACAAAAGCCTATTCTCTATTAGTCACTGCATGAAAAATCCCATACCAATTCAATATTTCAATGTATCAAATGTAGACAGGAATTTCATACAGACACATTTTTGTATATTTATATCTTTTCTAGCCATTTATGCATAAATCTATGCACTGGTGCATCTTTTAGCTATTTACACATATATTTACGCACTGGTGCATTTTCAATTTATTCTTTCCCTGCTCATTCTTTTTAATTTGGGTTTGCTTCTTTTTCTTTCTTCTTTTTAAAAAATAAATAAATTAAAAGGCCACAAATAACAGAGACATGTTATTTAAAGGAACTCAGACCTTGAAAATGTTCTTTTTTTGGACTAAAGCCCCTGTGGTCATGCTGGCTAGGGGATTCTGGGAGTTATACTCCAAAAAAAGTAACTTTCTCATGTTCTGAAGAAGCTAGCTTTCTATCTTACATGATAATTTCTTTAAGTCCTTAAGCTACAGAAAAGAAATATTTTTTGGATGGATAATCCATCATTTTGTACAAGAAAAATGTATTTCTCCAAAGTCCTGTAAAGAATGTTACATTTGTTTTTCTTACATTTGTTTTGGATGTAGTAATCAGAACAGCTCCAATGGAGGACTACTTCACTGACTTTCCTGTTTTCTGGTTGGCTCATAGCCAGATCTAGAACATTTTCCTATGTAGTAAAATGGAGTCCCTTATATAAAATGGAAAAATCAAGGTTTGCTTTGATGGGGAGGATGGGGATGGCAGATATTTTCAAGCCATGGACGGTTGAATTTGTGCCGAATCCGTGGATACAGAGGGCTGACTGTATAAGTAAAGCATATGCTTTTCTCTTTACATTGTTACAAATATTCAACCAAACTAATTGGGACATGGGGATGAGGATGCTTCCACCCCCATCCCAGTAGCAAGTGAGACTTCATCAATCAGAAGTAGGATCTCTGCCACAAACCCTCGATGCAGTCTCATTTACTGGCAGGAGAGGGGTGAAAATGGCATCCTCCTTGCATCCTTATTGGAAGTTGAATGAAGACTTTGTCTTCCTATTTGAGAACAGAGTAATCATACATATCCCATATCAACAATCTCAAAGGGAAAAAAACAGAACCCCCTCACCAACTAACCTATTGGCCCTGTCAGCTTCCTCCTGTTCCTACTTCTATCTGTGGACAAAGACAGTGATTTGATTGTGTCTTCCTGTATGGCAGGAGATTGGACTGGATGGCCTTTGGGGGTTTCTTCCAACTCTATGATTCTAGGATGATCATTCTGTCTTCTGGGCATCTCATTTTGCCCATTCCTTTGGGACAAGAATATTAATTATATAAGGGAAGAAACCAAAGCAAACAACCGGTCTGTCAGCCCATTTGATCTCCTGTTCCTGTCTCTGTGAGCAAAGAAGACCCATTCCTGGTATAGGTGTGTGTGTGTTGTGTGTCTTTAAGTCACTTCCTAAGACAAACCTATCATGGGATTTTCTTGGCAAGATTTGTTCAGAAGAGGCTTGTCTTTGCCTTCCCCTGAGGCTGAGAGCATGAGATTTTGCCCAAGGTCACCCAGTGGGTTTCATGGACGAGCTGGGAATTGAACCCTGGTCTCCAGAGTCCTAGTCTAACACCTAAACCACTATCTCATGCTGGCTCTCTCCTGGTATAAATATCATCCACCTAATCTTGTCTGTCACCAACCCAGCATCAGGGCTCACGACTTTGCCTTTCTCTTTGAAAGCATAGTAATCATATGTATCTCATATTAACAATCTCATAAACAACAACAACACACCCCTAACCAACTAACTTCTTGGCCCTGTCAGCCTCCTCCTGTTCCTGTTTCTATTTGTGAACAAAGACAGTCCAAGTATAAGTTATATTCTTCCAAGCTTATCCTATGCCAGCTTGGTTTCCCAGTGCTTCTGCCTCCTCCTTTGGGATCATAATTATATGTATCCTACAGTAACAACCAGTGAATCAACTAATCTTCCATTTGATTGACCTTTTCCTGCTACTGACTTTGCCTGTAAGCAATGACACTTCTAACATCACCCTCACAGGTATGTCTGGTGGAAATACGAGAGTGGGACTTCTTGGTCGCTGCTCCCAGGCTCTGGAACGCCTTTCCTAGGGAGGCTAGACTGGCACCCTCAGGCCTTTGAGGGCTGATTGAAATGGCCTTTAATAACAGGCTTTGTCATTTATATTTGCTGTCTTGCTCTTTTATGAGCATGCCTTTAATTTTATTGCTAGTTCAATTATATTTTAACTTTTTAATGTGTCCTTTAAATGCAACTGCTTTAATTTCTGTAAGCTGCCTTGAATCCCAGGACTGGAAAAAGGGAAATAATTGCGCCTTCACCTTTGGGCCCAGAAAAATATTTCTGATTGAATTGTACAAAGAAACAGAAACCAAACCATCTGCCTGCTCAGACAGTCTCCTCTTGTTTATGTTCTTGTCTCTCTGTGAGCAAAGACGGTTCTAGTATCAGCCTGCCTACTGCCAGACTTGATTTTGCCTCCCTCTTTGGGACAAGAATAATTATATGTATATATATCATTTATTAATAATTAAATGAACAAAACAAATACAAGGAGGAATCTACCCCTCCTTTTGGCCTTCTGCTCCCATTATGTCTCTGTCTGTTAGCAAAGACATACTTCTGATACAAGTTTCATCCCCCTAGCCTTGCCTAGACCAGCTTCCAAGTGCCTGATTCTGCCTTGCACTTTTGAAAATGCAATATATAAGTAAAACATAGATGAAAGAAAATACATAAAATGAAATTATAAAAGAGAGAATGGGAAGCAATAAAAACAAAAAAAAAAAAATCTATACTAAGTACCTTTTCTCATTCCTACTCTCCTCTGTATTTTGATGTGATTTCTTTCGCATTTCCAGTCCTGACCATTTAACACTTCCCCCAGTTAGAATCCCTCCCTCCCAGCATAATGTCACCTTTTACCTGAACAACTCTGCTTTGTCTCATTTCTGGCCTCCCAGGCTGACTCCACCTGCCCATATGCACTTGAACCCTTTATTGCAAGGTTCAGCCTTTCTGGGAAAACCTCTTCCCCTATGGGAATAGAAAACATACAAGCAAAAGAAAAACAGCAAAATCATTCTAAGCTTGCCTGCTGTCAGACTGGCCTTTGAGCACTGTGCATTCCTTTTCAAGGCAGAGGGGGCCGAGCAAGGAACCCTAGCAGGAAAAAGGAATTAACTACTTCATTTCTATCCTGTTGTTGCTATGCAACTTTAAGTCAACTCTACCTTACAGCGACTATATCATAGAGTTTTCTGGGCAAAAATTATTCAGATAAATTTTTCATTGCCTTCCTCTAAGGTTGAGAGAGTGTGACTTGTCCATGGTCACCCAGTGGGTTTCCACAAGTGAGTGGTAATTTAGACCCTGGTCTTCCAAAGTCCTAGACCAGCACTCAAATTGTTACTCCATATTGGCTCTCCGTTATTATCCTATCCTAAATTTCAGAGTCATTCCTCATTTCTAGTATTCCCTCTTGCTTGCTACTAGCTTGGCTCTTGTGTTTATCTCTGAAGCAATTGTCCTTCTCCTTTTGAAGTAGAATGACTATTGAAAATATTGAAAATAAATAGATGCTCTTGCATGCCTCCACCTGTCTAAGTGAGAAAAGAGTATGCCTAATAGTATACTTGATTCCCCCCCCCACCAAATCATCACAAAAGCATCCTGAGAAGCATCCTCCTTGTGCAAATGATCAGTGTCTTCAGTCCCTTCTACAGTCTCAGCACCAGCAGGAACTTACATTAGACATTCACCATGTGACCCTGCCATGCCACAGGGCACAAATGTCCTTCTTTGATGTTCCCTAGTGAGAAGCAAAAGAAGTCAGACAGGACCTCCTGAGATGTGTTCCTGTCATCACCTGGAGGGCAAGCTTGGAAAGACTTTCAAGCCATAGTGTTGTGACATACTCAATGGACTCTCTCTATCATTTTGGAGCAGCTAGGAACCATTTCCTCATGAGTCAGAAGAAGGTTATTGTCCTTTAAATACAGCATAAGGCCTATTATTATACACACACACACAAACACACATACATGAGATTACTAAGAATCTTCAGTGTGGGTAGATCAGAGTGCACTAGAGCTTTAGGGAAGGTTGTTTATTTAAGCTCCCATATACCCAGATGCAAGAAGGAGAGGTACAGTCTTTTTCCCCCTAGGGAGCACCAACAAGCAATATCTTCTTGGTTGTTATGGGGGGGATGGAGAAGAGAGAACTGAAGCTGACAGCAAAAAGGCTGAACTCTGCAGAGTGAACATCTAGCTCTCCTATTCTGCAATACTTCTGCTGATCACAGAAAGTCTGAATAGCTCTCATGGCTAGCAGTCATAGACCAATCTCTCTGCATTTCTCCATAAAATAATAATCCCACTGAGCCATCACCTCAGAGGTTGCCACTAACCAATCAACAACATGGCTTATGCTACTTTAGGTGACCGCCAATGTGTAGTGGCATCACTAGCAGGGAGCTGGGGAAGGGGCCCACACCAGGTGACACCCTAAGGTGGGTGACATCACTGTTCCCCCAAAATTTGCTGTTATTCACCTTCATCCCTTTGAAATGCTGTGGTATTCACCTTCATTCCTTTAAAATGCTGAAGTGATGGAGTGAGTGGGACAAGGCTCAGTAGGAAGAGAAAGGCAAAGCCCAGATTTTTTTTTAAAAAAATATTTTTTAAAAAATATTCTTTTAAAAAATTCTTTAAAAACATCACATCTTACCAAATTTTCATTTTAACCACATAAAATAATGTATATGTAAATAGACTAAGGCTGTGTACATCAATATTGTAACATAAAGATATCATTTTATTTTTGATAGTTGTTTATGTCACAACTGTTGCCATTAAATTCATTAATATACGGGAATTACGATGTATGAGTAACATTATTCCAAAAAACATTAGTAAGGATTCTGTATGGTGTGGCATGGGAGGAGGTCAGTGCAAGGGGTTACTGCATGAGTTACCGCATGAGGTGACACCAGCCGTAGTGATGCCATTGCCAACGTGCACCAAATCTTGCAACAACCATCCTGATTCAAGGACTGCTAAGAAGTATAAACAGAACCTCCCTGGTTGAAAAACATTGCTCTAGAGCAGGGGTAGGCAACCTTTCCCCTTTAAGAGCCAAGGGACTTCAGCTCCCAGGAGCCTCAGCTATGTTGGCCAATAGTCCCATGTTGGCCAATAGCTCCTGGGATTCTGGGAGCTATAACTGGGGAAAGGCTGTTACTGTTTCTATGTGTACAAATGAACATTTTTTGTTCATGTGCACATGCTTGTATGTTGGCAGCTAAAATGCTGCTCAGGTGTTTTTTGTTTTTACTTTGCACAGAGCTAGACAACTGTACCATGAATAATTTCTTGTACAGCAGCAGCAAAGGAGATGTACACCCATCCACACAAACAGACATAAACAAGTGTGACAGAATATAGGGGGAAAGGGGGACTCAAAGTTTTCATCTTCCCCATGCCACAGTGAAAGCTAAATACTGGGAGGAAAGACTTTTGTTGTTTTCAAACTACATCATGGACCCCCTTCACAAAGTAATTTTCAGGTTTCCTAGACCTGTTTTAAAAAATACTTGATTTCTGTCCTGAAAGACTAGAGTTTCAGTTTCAAGGTTATTCTGAGTGTGGAAAAGAAGTGGAACATGTACTACCTACTCCATTCCTTTCAAAGAAGTGGCTGATAATTTGCATTTGTTATGGGGAAATTCAAATGCAGGAGACCAGGGCAAAATTTATTGTACAGTCGTCCCTTCATTTTCGCAGGGGATCCGTTCCGGAACCTTCCCCGCGAAAATGAAAAAAAAACAACAACGCAAATATTCAAGCCCCATTGGCTTGAATGGGCGCGCGCTCTCGCACATGGCTTCACGTGTGCACCATTATTTCCCTCCTGGCTTCCCATCCACAGAAATTCAAGACTGTGGACAGGAAGTCCACAAAATAAGAGGGACTGTATAACAATAAACTTTCTTTGCACTTTCAATGTGCAATCATGCTATGCTTTTCATTTCTGGCAAATGGAAACTTGGCAAGGAGTAGGAGGTGAGGCAGTGAAGATTACCATACAAGAGCTTTTTGCAGTTTAAAAGTGCTATTCTATTGTTATTTACCAGGAACGATACAATGACGATTTTAAAACACTTACTTTCACACTGGTCACAAAAACAGGTCATTAACAATTCACAAGCAGTAAAAAAGCATTTTTACATTCCACATGTCAGCATCATTTTTTAAATGTGCTGGGTTTGTTTTTCCTGCAGCACGACAGGAGACAAGCTGGACCCTTCCCATGTTTCTTCAATCCTAGCAAGTTGTATAATAAGTACATCCTCTGGGACTTTACAGCTTTGGACATGTCAAACTTCATTTTTATAAATCCCCATTTTCATCCTTAAAAATTGCCCGCTGTGACAAGAGTGATATTTCTGTCGCTGCTGAGAACTCCTCACTTCACAAGCTCACAAGACACAGGAAATGATTCCCAGGCACCCTGGGGAAATTCAGTTTAGGAGATTGCCCTCCTGTTGCATTCTGGGACTTGTAGTTTAGGAAGGGCCATTTAAAATATTCAGCCAGAGAGCTC